GTGCCATGCGATTACGATGACGACGATGTCGATTTTGACGTGCTCGGATGGTGGAAGCGGAACGAACACATGTTCCCATGTCTCGGCATGCTAGCAAGACAAGTGTTGTCCGTCCCAGTATCAACCGTAGCAGTTGAACGAGAATTCAGTGCTGGCGGCAACATTCTAACCGACTACCGAAGTTGTCTTAACGCTGAATCTCTTGAAACACTGGTTTGCAACCAAGATTGGCTCTTGGCAAGACGTCGGGCTCAAGAGTCATCGTACCAACTCGAATCGGAGCATTACATGAATGCAACCACAGATGGAAGTCCGAGTTCTGAAGAATAAGTTATAATTTTTTTTTATGTTAATGTAAATATGTAATTAATTTTATTAGGTGAGCGATATATAAGCTCCTTCGAGGGTTTCTTTACGGTTCTTTACCTCGTCGCTTTTTTTGAACCGTCAGGATATTAAATGTGGTTGTTCTTCAGTTAGTGTATTACTCATTTTCAATATTTAAATAACAACTACATTTTTAGATTTTTTATTTCATTCTTTCCTTAAACAATTGCAATTTGCAAATTTACATTTTTATATTTTTATAATTTAAAAATTAAAAAAAAAAATAGGGGGGGGGGGGGGGCGAAACCGGCCGGTCCGGTACCGGAACCGCCAGTCCGGGAACCGGAACCGGTACCGGCCGGCACGGTATACTTTCCGGTTACTCGGGGTGGCGGTACCGGAACCGGCGGTTCCGCAACCGGAACCGTCCCGGAACCGTACCGTGTCCACCCCTAGTTGGAAAGAGACATATTTAGAAAGAAGACAAAGGTGTAAGGTAATACATGAAAGTACTAAAAGCTATAGATAGGGAGCCATACTTTTCCCATGTCATTTTGTTTGGATGTGCTGCTGCTGCGCCTGTGACATTTCTGAAGGAGGCATCAGAAGATGATGAGGTGATGCTTCTACTCTTCTACACCTATTGTCTATCACCAAACACCCATGAGTGAGTATGCATAACAGCTGTCTTTTCTATTTCTTGAAAAAAAAATAATATTCAATTTTTTTAAATATAATTTATTTAAGGATTGACATAAAAAAACAGGGCAAAGATCTTTTGACCTTTGAACCTTGGATCATATTATAAATCGGGATACTTACGGTACTCCATTCGTAAAATTAATGTTTCCTATCTTCCTAACCTCCATCTTAAACCCTACCCCTTGATATCTACTTGCCCCCCCCCCCCACCACAGCATCCCCCTGACCCGTAGGTGACCCGGGTCATAATATGACCATTTTGAACTAAAAAGAGTAATTTAGTAAAATATAATGACTTTTCCAATATAAGACCATATGTTTTTATTTCCCAATGTAGGACTTTTGGTCATTATGAATTAGCCATTATTCAAGTAAATGTCCATCATTACTGGACATCATTCCTTCTACTAAGACATTAATAAGTCCTATTTAGGAAATAATAAAGTTTAAGTCTTAGATTAGGAAAGTCATTATGTTTTAGTCTTATTTAGTGTAAATTTCACAAATAAAAATTACTACATATTTAAAAAGTATACTAAAAATTTTACAAAATAAAAGATGATAAGAATATTTTATAACATTAGATAATCAATGAAAATATACAGATAAACAAAAGTTGGTGTGATTTTTGAATAGTGAAGGGAGGGAATAGATACAAAGAGACACTCTATAAAATGTATTAACCCCATTATCCAAAAAGGGATAAATGAAACTTTAATCTCATGTAAGCGATATAGAACATGTCATGTCCTTAGTCCTTGTTTAATTTATACTTCCTCCGTTCCAACATAATTAATCTCTTTACTATTAGGGTCTTTCGATATTTTTTTATTGTTTGCTTGTTTTAAATGATCATTTGGTAAAATAAAAAAATTTTTTACTCTTGTTTTGTAGAACTTTTGATTTAGTTTTTATATATAATTTTTATTTTTCACTACAATACCAAGAATTTGCAAGAATTTGCACGTTGATCGAAAGAAATAATTCATTTTGAGACAAAGAGGGTGCAACTATTCAACGTATAAGATATTTCACATTATGTATGGTAGGAGAAGAACTTGACAACAACTTGACTGCAACTACCCGATGCAGATTATACTTTTTACGATCAATCTATGCTTAAAATCTAGTTTACCTCTCTCACATGATTGTCCAGATAGCTCTAAAGAGCCCTTAGGAATGAGGTATCACTATTGACCACTTGAACAACTCTTAGAGTAGGTGTCCTTTGCCATTCCAAGCTATGGGATGTTTGGCTCAGAGACAATTAGAACAATAGTGTGGAATACTTTGGTAGGAAAAGGCATTGTTTTAGAAATCGAAATAGACTAATTGTTCAATCCGGTAGGATCACGAGCCAAAGACCAATCCAGTCTGGTTCGAGAAGTGATAATTCTAGGTTTTTTTATCAAACCCGAAACTGATCGATCCAGTCATGAGCAGGTTGGAGAGAGATCTAACAGGCCTTGGAGGACCAAACCCACGTATGTGGCAAAATACGGTGATGACTTGTGGTTAGGGGTGAAAAGCCAACCAAGATCGGATATACACACACACTAAAATAGGATTTATAATGCCAAAAATATTAATGTAATGTCAAAAAATATTATGAAATGCGAATATACAATATCAAGTTATGTCATTAGACAGTACCAACAATCCTATTTGTACCAAGGCTTCTATTTAAGAGAGAAAGCATATGAGATCTTGTTTAGATATAAATTTTATGTTTTAATTCTATTTAGATACATGTCTTAACAATTTTAGTTAATTCAAGTACACATTACATAGGTGGACTTGATTAGGGACATAGAGATTGGAGTACGCTACATAACTCTTATATAAAAATTCTACATTTAAATAGGAATATCCTTTTTTGAGGAAAATGTAAATAGGAATATTTAGTGAGAAAGATAATGGCAAGGTTATATTGACACTCTAAATGAGTGTTATATTATGACACCAGTCAAATTGAGAATATTATGGTGTTTCGCTTAAGAATTGATGATTTCTACCTTCTAATCTTAGATAAGCCCTCCACCCTGGTCTAACTAGAACCTGCACCCCACCCTCGTCAAGGTGTCAATTGAGCTGAGAATGTTAGTTGAATTTAGGGTCAATTTTTTTACCTGAAAGTCAACTAAAATTTGCAGGCTCATTTATTTTTCAAAAGGGGTAAAGGCCTAGGACAAGGAGACCTATCTCACCTTTTTTATTTGTAGTAGTTATAGAATATCAACTAGAGTGCTGACTACTAAATGTTATTGGTGAAAAGTACATGCTCAAATTCTCAAAAAATTACTTCCGGGTACACTCAATTTTCTAGTATTAACTCCCAGGTCTCATATTTTTTGAAATATACTCTGGAGTCTCCTTGATTTTTTGGTAAGAACTCTCAAATCCCACATTATCTGAAAATAACTCCAAGGTCTTTAAAATTTGTGATATTATACTCAGAGGGTACATTATCTCAACGTTAGATTAAAAGTTATTTTACTTTGACAAATTGATGAATTTTATTTTAATTTAATAGAATAATGATTATCAATGTAAAGTCTAATATTATTCAAAGTAACAGAACTTTCAACTATAACGATCAATAAACGGAATGTACCTTGATAATACATTATCACAAAATTTAAGGGCCCCTGGAGTATATTTTGGATGATGTGGGACCTAAGAGTTTCTACTTGAAAATAAAGGGTACCCCAGAGTATATTTTAGAAAATGTGATGAAACCTGTGAGTTATTACCAAAAAATATTGAGGGTACCCTATGTGCAAGGAAATCAAACTAATCAACTCATACTTTGCTGGTGACCTGATAGTGATCTGTAGAGCTGATGAAAAGTCTATTAAATGTATTATATACTCATATAGTATTATTTTAAGGAGACTACTGGCTCATCCATCAACTTGAGCAAATCTCAAATTGTAGTGGTTAGGGTTGGCCTAAGACAAGATGAGAAGTAGAAGCTGATTGCCAGCGCTAATATATCTGATCAAGGGAAATTACCTCACTTATTTGGTATGCCCTATCACAATCAATAGAATGTCCTTGCCTGAATATGATATACTCATTGAAAAGATGACAACCAGGATATAATTAGTTGGAATACTAATTAAACACCTATCATACGCATGTAAATCCAGACAGATTCATTCAGTATTGAACGGTAAGTCAATTTTTAGAACAGAATTATTATTATTATCTAAGTGATGAAATACATTCAAGATCTCTGCAGAAATTGCCTATGGGGGGGAAACGGAGCAATACAAGAAAGTACCCCTTTCGTAATGGGAGGAAACATGTACGTAGGCGTAAAGAAATCATGCAACTTGGGCTCATGAACGTAATTTCTTGGAAGAAAGCACAAGTCATGAAACTTAACTAGGACTTGGCTAATAAAAAAGACAACCTATGGGTTTGATGGATACATTACAAGGAAACTAACCTATGAAAATAGGTTCCAAAATCGGATGCGTGCGATTATTGGAGGAGAATGACAAAGGTGAGCGAAAAGTTTGAGGGGATGCCTATATGAGTGGAGACTACTCTTTAGAGGAAGATCGATTTTAATTGGCTTGTGGGAAATCTAACAAAGAATGAGTGTGCAAGTTTGGTATGGAACATGCTATCTATCCCTAATTATCAATTCAGTCTTTGGTTAATGTTAAAGAACATATTACAAACTACAATGAAAATAAGAGTATGTTCTTTAGTATTGAAAAAAGAGTCAAGTATTGTAAAAAATTAGAAGAAACTCTGAAAACTAGAAAAACTAAAACGAATGAGAAGAAATTGGAAGAAAAAGAAAAAATGGAAGTAACTAGAAAAACTCGAAGGAACTTCAAAATGTTTTTTAATGTATTTTTACATATTATTCTTATTATAATTTTTATTTTTGTTATTGCTATTAACATTATTATTATTATTATTATTATTATTATTATTATTATTATTATTATTATTATTATTACTATTACTATTACTATTACTATTATTATTATTATTACTATTACTATTATTATTACTAGACTCGTACCCGTGCACAGGCAAATTATTGACTAAAGAATCATCGAACATTTTGAAGAAGGGAAATGATTAAAATACTTAAAGATAGATCAGAAATCATCAATTTTATAGATGAAGCATCATAGATGTTCAAAATCAGAAGTGACACCACATTGTCAACGATACATAACGTCACTCGAATCATGCTTTTTAAGAATGAAAGATTAATACAAATAAAGTATCATTAACGTACAGTTAATAATAAATCAAAATGCATGAGTTTTTTAGTAGTGTGTGTACGTGCACAGATGCGAATTGTTCTTGAGTTTTATACTTTTATTAATTATCATTTTGTGAAAATTGTACTTACTCATATATATAATGCTCTTTGTAATTTAAGAATTTATCTTAAAACACTTACGTGATGTTCTTTTAGATTCTAGTCATTAAATTACGGAGTATAAGGTAACATTTTCTAGCGATTTCAAATTTATTTCAACTCAGTGTTTTTGGATATGAAATATTATTGTGAAAATGAAGAAAGTTTATTTATGTGAAAAAGTGAGTGACAAAACTATTACTCATTTGAATTCTCTCACATAACTGCGATTAGAAAGTGAAATAGTGTGAGATAAAATTTTAAAAAATGAAATGCAATTTTCTTTACTAAAAATATGAAATTTTAAAGAATAATATTTTTATCAATACTTCATTTTTCAAACTCTTTTAATTTTCTTAAACTTTTATAAATCTTTTTCCACTTCTTTCTAAATTTTTAAAAATTTGATGTTATACAAAAAAATATTCATCCCAACATAAACTTTTTCAGTGAAGTATGGAAAGGAAACTATTAAACCACATGCTACTTATTTTACTATTTAACTTCTCAGTAAATTGTACAAAAAACCTTTAAATTGAGGTGTTATTATACGTATGAGTATTGTTTTTAGATTCAATACTCATTTCAGCCAACTCAATCTACCAGCCCCGTCCTTCCGCCTAACCCAATAAAAACCAGGCACATTTATACTCTTTTACCTACCCATGGTAAAAAAATAATTTGAATACTTATGAATGATTTTTGAATAAAAAAATAATGGAAATAATACTATAATACTCCATGAGTTCTAAAATTGATTGCAATCTTTTTTCTCTCCTCTCGATAACTTTTGTTTATTTATGTATTTTCGTTGATTATTTTATAAAATAAAATATTTATGTTACTTCTTATTTTGTAGAACTTTTGATGTACTTTTTAAATATGTATTTTTTATTTTTTATTGATGTAAAAAATTTGTAAATAAAGTGATTTCAAAAAATTCATCGTTTTACCTTGTAAATCTCAATTTGTAATCAAATTTAGGTAGAGAGATTATTAAAGTTTGGAAACGTCTTACAATATTAATTGTATGATCTAGTAATTGTTTTTCATCACGAATTTAGTATTTTAAAACCTCACGAATTAAATTTATTGAATCAAATTTATTACTATTACCGTCTCAAGTTAAGTTGACTGTTTATCATTTATACTATCAAACTTTAATCATGTTTTTACTCATTTTTGTTATTTGTTTGATATAGTAAAATAAGTTTAGTTTTGTTACCTCTTGTTTTGTAAATTTTTTAGTGGAATTTTTTTTAATTTTATGCAAATTTTGAAATAAATTGAATGAAAAATAATTTTAATCAAACTTCGTAAAGAATTGATTGAAAAAGGTATTCTGTCTTAATTTAAATGTCTTGTTTACTAATTGATAAAATAATTTCATATCTTCATTTATAAAACTAATATAATTTTTAATTTACATATATAATTATTATTGTTTTAATTTTACATCAATTTATAAATAAAAATAAGTTTAATAAAATATTGTAATAAAATAAAAACCTTAAATTAGTAAGAGCTTCATAATGGGTGGAATAGAAAGGATTAGATAAACGGTGCTAACCTAACCGGATGAGCCCATCTACCCCGCTCCCAATTATCGCCATTCCCCAATCCCATTCTCTATCGTTTGCGCCGCTCTTATCTCTTAAGAGTGTGGTGTCTCTTTTCTCCTAGCGTCGATCTAGAAGTCATGTTCTTTGATCTGATATTGGATGAGATGTAGAGATGGTGGTCGTCTCCAAGAAGGTCGTCTATCGACTGGCTAGATGTTCACTCCGTTTGTCTCTAGTAATCCTTTCTCTCGGATCTGGGAGGATTTAACATAGAAAATCTTTTTATTTTCTAGTAGATTCATGAAGACAATCATTTGAACTATTTTCTCATATGAATTGAATTTTTTAACTTTGGGCTAAAATATAAGATTGAGTCTTAAAGTGCTCAGATCTTAAAAAAATTAGACATCAAAATATAACGCTTGAATCTGAATGTTTTTTGCCTTCTACGGAGATGTTAGGACATCAATATGAATCTACCATATATCTTATTATGATTTAATAGAAATTTCTTTAAAGTCTTTAAAACTCATTTATTGTTTGGAAGGTATTTTTGTTCTAAAGGATTGCACTTTGCTTGTGTTTTAGTTCTTTTTATTCCATCTTGATATTCTTTTTTCAATCTACTGGGGTATTTTTCACATGCATAGCACATTTTCCCTAAAAAAATTTAAATTATAAAATTGGTATAGATTTTTTTGAGAATGGAAATTAAATTAGCATATCAAATATTAAAAATATTCACAGTAAAGGTAATGACTGCTAAACTCAGACTTTTATCCTTTTTGCCTGACTTAAAGGCAATGACTCCTAATCTTATTTTTTATTTTGAATCCTTGTGATGAAGTCATATCCAATGCCCTTTTGAATATGTTAGGAAACATGTAGCTATTAATATTTTCTGGAACAAATCTTTTTGCCTCAGGGTTTGGCTCAATTAGTGTGCCCAACTTTAATGTAATTGTAAATGTTTTTTAATTTGGGTTCAAGAGTGGCTTTCTTTCAATGCTTTTAAGTTTAACACATCAAAAAGTTCATTATAGACCTCTTATATGCCCGTACATAATGGCCCATCTGCATGTGTGCATTGCAAATGTATGCATTAGTTGAACTAATCGGCAGGCTTCATTATGTATGCTTTGATCTTTCAAAATACCTCTTATGCTTTCCTCTTCTTAAGAAAAAAATCCTCTTTCAAACCTTTTGAATGATAAACTTATACTCCGGGACATGATTTTGTCAAACTACCTTCATGGATGATTTTGTTCTTCACTGCAATGCTACAAACTTTTATTGCATGAAATATTGTTGAATGTATTTTTCGAGCTGATTTTACTACTACAATTTAATTATTTGCAAAGATTATTAAAGATATTAATATGGTTTCAAGGTGGAGAGAAGTACCTGAAGGGCAGAGGCAAGACTGGAAAGTACCCAAGATGTACTTCGTATTTATACTGTGTTCTGGTGTAAGCAGATATTTTAAAAAAATTGGTGAATCAAGTTAATTATTCATAGTAATAATGATAAAAGATTTGCAAGATCTTCACTTTTTGTATTTAAATGATACATTTGGTGCAAAAAAATAGATTTGTAAGATCGTCACTTTTACCATAACAAAAAAGATTTGTAGAATCACCTTAATAAATGCTGATTTGAGATAAAGGGTAACTTACTTTATGGTGTGTGGCGGCTCCATGCAACACACATACCCATAAAGTAGTAAGTTTACACTTACCCATAAAGTGTTCGTTTAAGCACATTAAATGCTTGGATTGTGCAAATCTAACCATTAAATTGATTAGATGGAAAGCATTATTATTTCACTTTATGGAGCCACGCACAGCCGCCAACCGCAACCCAATAAAGTTGGTCCCCAGCCCCGTAAAATTGTCAGCCGCATGCCCAAGAGAGGATGACTAAATTCGGCCCAATATTAGCAGCTCAACCCGGCCCAAAGGATGGAGGAGAAAATGGCGGGAACACTATTCATAAAGTCCTCTTACCATTGTATATAGGAGGATTATTATTACGGAGTATTATTATTATTATTATCACTATTACTATAACAATGATATATAATAGGTAAAGAAAATCAATAAAATTGGAGCGCGTGAATAGTCTACATACCATTTTATTAGAGATAGTGGGAGTAGCTAGTATAACTATTATTTTTTAATTTGAAATATTGATATTTTTCCTAGGTTAATTTATAAAATATTCCTAGTTTTTTGAAAACATCGTTTGGTGTCACATAAAATAATAAAAAAATAATCTTTGCAAATAAAATTGTACTTAGTATTATTTATGTAAAAGAGAAGAAAAATAATAATAAGTGTGAATTACAGAAAAAATGACATGATGAGAAAAAATAAAAACTAAAAAATATAAAAAAAATTGTGATGATAAAAAACAAAAATGAACAATAAATTGTGAAAGCTGAAATATTTTGTTTAACTTGTCAAAATATATAGTACTTCACAAAAAGCATTAGGAAATTGTGATGACAGGTCTTTGTCATTTGCTGCCTTTTGTTGGTTTGCAACAAGTTTATCGTGAAACGGCTACCTGCCAAAGCCAAAGTCGACATTTGAACTAATTAGGCACAAAGTTTTCAATATGAAACTTTTCATACTTTTCATATATATATATATATATATATATATATATATATATATATATAGACACACACACTAAGAGCACTGGTAATGGTTATGAAGCCCCGGGGCTTCAAACTTTCTCTCTCTGCCACGTCAGCTTTAACTTACACCCAAAATTCACTGGAAATGGGTTTGAAGCCCCGGGGCTTCAAAACTGGGCTTCAAACCTTCATTTTTTACATTTTTAAATATACATCTTCTAAAATTAAATTAATAAAATGTAATTAATTTATTATTTAATTAAATTGAAACACGAATAATAAAAAAATACATTCATTAAATAAAAAAAGCGTCAATAATTTAAATAACGATACATTAATAAAAAAAACTAAGGTAAATTATATTTCTCCTTGATCTCTCTCATTCTTTGCTCATAGATCATTCGTCCAAACTCCGACAACGTCCCGGGGTCGGTTTGCATGACTTTCATCTCAGCCTCCTGCTC